GCAGTGGAAAGGAAGAAGCAAGTTTGAATTTAATTTAAAAAAAAAGTTTGGTCCAAAAGAATCAAGTAGTAATGTTTCTCATAAGCACTTCTGCATTACAAGTTACATATGTAACTACATGTTCCAGTTGCATTTTCCCCACTCATAAACCAGAGGTATGGCTATACAAACTATTTCTCAGACTGAATTATTTTAACACTACTTATTTTGCACAAGTTACCTAGAAAGAAGGCTTCTCACCTCAACTGAAAGGTGACACGGCTTTCATGTTGGGATTTTCAGCCAACAAAGCTAAACAGGTGGTTTACTGAACTGCTAGCTCATAATGTTATAGAGCAGGCCAATTTAATTCGAGATTGCATCAGATGAACTCAGTACTTCTTAGTAGCACTCGGAAAAAAATCCCTTGCTGCAATTGCACTTCCATTTATTGAAAGGTTAGGTAATATCTATTGTTGCAGGACAACCAAGTAGCATTCCTAAGGGCTTAGCCAGTAGCCCACAAGATGCTTTATTATGCAGCCATGCAGCCAAGGTAGCAGGCATGGACAGCAGAGCGAGTGGAAGGAGAGCAAGAGCTGTTTTCATCTCCCCTTTCGACCCAGTCCTGTGTGACACTTAATATCACTTACCTTGGTGTATAGTACACAGAACTGTGCAGTCTAGCATGCATGTAGCTCAATCCAATACAAGTGAACTGTGATTATCCGTTAGAGTTATAAAGAAAGTCTGTTTTTAAGATGAGGTTCACAAGTCATTATTCTTCAACAGTTAACTGCACTAATAATTTTAGCATACCTGAAATGAGCAAGTGCTTAACCCTTGGGGGCCTGGGATACTACTTTCTGACAGTGTTTCTTCAATCTACCCACAAAAAGTACATCTCTAATGCTCACAAGTCTAATGCTCACATAACTCACAGGCTCATGGAAAAATGAAATGCAAATATGAGTATCCAACATCAATTACTTTACCCTTAATAGACCCTCATCTTTTCCATTTAGAGTTAAATTGGCTTCCAGTCCCTACTCCAAGAGCCGTTTTTAACCTCTTCCTCAGTCTGTGGATAAAACAATCTCAGAGCGATGAAACAGAACTCAAGAACCTTCCCTCAAGTCCCCAAAGTAAGCGCCTTAAAAGTATGAGTCCATTCCACTGGATAAGTGCTTAAAAAACATACTTTGAAAGTCCACCCGCCTTCTCTCAGGACCAATTAATTTTGAAGCATTTCTTGGAAAAGGGAATCATTTCAAAAATAAGAAAAATATATCCTCCCAGAACACTGTACAGGCTGTTTGTCAGGGCATGCCCCAGGAGAATTTCGGTATTATTCTTTAACTATAATAAGTCAAAACACAGGTCTCAGCATTCTGAGAAACTACTCCACCAAAGCAACACACAAGAGAGCTGCTATTTCTAACCCCCTCCTTGGCAGGGGCGGCACCTGAAATGGTTGCTTGAAAAATAACCTCCGTAGTAGAGGAAAGAATTTAAGCAACACTCATCCTAACCAGCTCCAGGCTTACTAAGATGCTAAGATGAAACTGGGGGTTCACTTCTGAGGAGATGAACTCTTCATGTGAACTGTACAACTAGTGTTACCCAGACATCAAACTCAAGACTGCTGGATCTGTCACAGGCCCAAGTATATTCAAATGAGCTTGTGACAGCAAGATTGATTAATGAAGCTTGGAGCCACAGAAAAGACTTTGGTAATCACCACGCAACCTGAATCAGAACAATTGTTTCTTACGGCGTTTCAAGGATTCCTAAAATGTTCTGGTCTCATAGAAAACAGACTTCATACTTTCAGGGCTGTTCAAATATATTATATATTTTAGCAGTTTACACAGGTTAATTACCTCTTTTTCCTGAGCAGCTCATTCAAGATTATGTTAATGCTACCACTAACAAAATAAAAAGCCCCAACCCCCCCATATATAGGGACAGACAGAGAGAGAAAAAAAAAAATATATATGAAAAAGACACACACACACACACATATATATATGAAAAATATATGACCGAGGACACTAATTGCTTTTTCTGTTGTTGAAATATGAAGTTTAACATAAGCAAGGTTATTCTGAGTCTTACAAAATGAAACAATTAAAAAAATTGTTTTTTTTCAACTACTTCAAAACCTTAGCCTGAGACAGTCTTCCATTGAGAGTTTTCAACCAGCTGGTAAAAAACACAAAGAGAGACTCCACAGGCTCCCCTTGAAAGGCACCCATAAAAACAGAGAAGAAAAACAACTCAATGAGCAGACATGCATTAAGTGAAATCACTATATACAGCTCTCTACTTCTGTTGGAAAAACATGTAATAGTCTGCCTTGTGCACCTTTTTTCAACTTTCATTTTCCTATAGTGAATGATTTTGTAACTGTAAGATTAAACCTAAGAGAGGGAAATATTCAAATATTTTTAAGACTCCAGAATAAGGGAACCTGAAATCTTGCAAATTAGTAGTGCAACTCCATGTTTTGCACCCTCTTCCCTAGTGGACGGTTTTTGTTTTTGTTTTTTTAATAAACCTAACACTCCTGTTTAAAAGCATACTTAGGGATCCTACGCTACAGAAGTCTAACTGCAGAACGTAGGATCTACCGTAGAACAAAACATGTGTATCTCATCATCCTGTCTAATACCAACTTTTGTCAGATTTTAGCATTAGCAGATTTACAATCACAAGTTGCAATGCCACCACTTTAACTTCATTAGAACTCATACACTTATTAATGGCCACTGTCACAGACAAAATGAAGGAGGACAAGCCTTTGGCCTGACCCAGTACAGTCGCTCTAATTGTTTGCTCCTCCAGCCTCTTGGCTCCAAAATTACAAGATTGACTACCTGGGATAATAGCTGGATCTGAACACTAACCTATTAACTGATGATCCTGAATTCTGAGATACAAGAATTATTCTCTACTGATTTCATTAAAATGAACTGTTCAGCTAGTCTTTCTAAATAATGAAATAATAGGCTTACTATCTGTTGCATAGTATATTACAACAGGTATTTCCTACCGGAAGTGCTGTATGTAAGTAGGCGTCACAGTTATTTTTGAAGCGTACAGTTATAGTGACTATCCCCCACTTACCTCAAAAATCAGCGTAGCATTGGGAGGTATCTTTGGAGGGCTGCCAGCAGACCCATAGGCGTATTCCGGTTTACATGTAATCCGACAAATTTCTCCAATCTTCATAGTTGCCACAGCAATGTCCCATGCTTTGATTACCTCACCTACGCAAGTCAGATTTCAATCACATGACTGTTAGGCACCTATGAAAGTCATCAACAACCATGAAGCTTGGCATCATCACTTTTCATATACATAACTTAAGAATCTGCCAGATAGAGCAAGAGTACTGAAAGACTTGATTGCACTCGCTCTTGTTACATCAGTTTAAATCCTAATCAAGTTATGAAGCTACTTGGGGATCCAAATCTAAATTTTCTTAAAATTTCTTCATTCTGAATGTAGTGATTCTTTTCCTCCTGCTACTTTCCTGCCTATAGAGAATACAGGTCATTCGAACACAGACCATATCTGAAGCGCCTGGCACAACCTCAAGTGCCAGAAAATGTAACAATAAACTCTTCAAAAAAGGTCTTAGGGCAAGAGACTGCCTACTCATATTTTGAAAATAATCCAAAAAAAGTCTTTTCTCTCTGTACTTTATCAGTTGGCAAAGACCAGCGTAAGTGGTAATTAAAAGTTACATGCACTTGTAACAGAAAGGGGAGGAAACAGGAGGAAGGATTCCTTGTAAAGCCAAAAGTGAACAGAAACTGGAACCTAAAGTAACAAAATTCTCTCTCTCTCTCACTCAAGCTCTCCTACTTGCTGCTTCTTTCCACTTGATCAAGTAGCCCGTGTATTAACCTCGTATTAACTGGCATCCTTGATATCACCCATTTTTAGTACAGTACAGAATTTTTCTCCCAAATAGAAAAAGCATCAGGCAGAGAATTGTCAGAGGAATTGGGAAACTGAGTAATAAGATTTGTCAGTCACGGATGTTTGGCTTTTTGCACCCAAGAATTAAGGCTTTTGATAATGAAGACGTGTACCCCGATATTCAAATTTGGATTAATTTGGAAGTTTAGGGAAAAGGGGGAGTAGACTTCCTTGTTCTTTAGCTGCAGTTGACGGCTGCCTCAGTACACCCTGTCCCAGTAATTGGTCACAAATAAGCACGCTCAAATGAGACTTCTGCCAAAAACCGTCAACAAAACCATCAACAAAACGCACATGCGGGCTATTTAACTAACTTTTATCATTATGTTTCAGGGTGAATTCCCATGAAGGTGAGTTTGCTTCCCTTGGAGTCATTTGTCTGAGGTCCTCTGAATTCTTCACAAACCTCATCAAGTGGCTACATATTTTTTTCCAATTCAGAAAGTTCTCAAAGCAGTTCTGATTGGGCCGTTCTAAGAGAAGAAACCTTACCTTTTGAGAACAAGTTAATATAGCAACTTTAATATTCAAAGGAGCCACATATGCAGGGAATCCTCATCTCAGTATCAGTAAGACTAATCAACATCAAACAGTACCTTTCCCCAAGTCAAAGGAAAACTTGTCTCTCCTGTCCAGGCTGGAGTCAAATTTCGTGCCATCAAGAAGCCATCCTGTATAATGGACAGTCACTTTATCACCTATCATTGGAGACTCTGTCCCACTGCCTTCTCTCTTGATAACCTGAGAAAAACAGTAAGTGACACTAAGATGATGAAAACTAAGTCTGCTAACTGGACATTAACTCCATTTACTTAGGTGTACACGTTATCACCTTCAGTTGACAAGGGATTTGCACGTTAACTGGAAATAGATTAGTAGTGTTGCAAACGCATGGACACTCAAGATAGCTCTGCAGTGATATGAGAACTTGAATGGCCACAGTTGGCACTGGTTTAGAGAACTCTGCATCTATAGTTAGCAATGTCACTTATCCTTCCTCCGCAAACTGTAGATGTTTGTGAAACCTAGATAAAGCCAAAGTTTTTTTTGCTTCATTTGCTCCTCGTATTTTCCTTACCAACACTGTATCATTACCCCAAATTTGTGTTCTATGCAAAGCATTTTAACAAGGAAAATACGCCAGTTCCTTGCATGCCACATCTATTCTAACAAAGATCTGAGATTCTTGAAGGTTGCTCTACAGTTTAACAAAGGTAACAGAGTTTCACCCCAACAAACGTTAGCTCTAGCAGTCAACACATTAACATTCAGGAACTGCAATACTAGTTTTGGCACCCTACAACTATAACATGGATTGTCAGCACCCACCCCTATTTTACAAATAAAACTGCAAGGATTCAGCATTCTTTTCAAGGGGTGCTACAGGTTAGTGAACAAGACCCAGCATCACCTAAGTTGATGCTGTAACAAAGAGCAAGTTCATCCAACCTCTTTGGTATCCATTTGAAACGTATATAAATATAGAGAACGATGACCACTTCTTTCATATAATATGGATATGAGGCTTTGCCAGCAACAGGATTTATAAAGCTTAAGTTCTAGTTTTCTCCAATACTGACTGAAACCATCTGGCTCCCAGCCGAAGCTTGGCATTACTTTAGCTAGGCAAAAGGGAATTAACGGAATATCTTATTTGCTTACTTCTATGCATATCTAGAAAACATCATCATGTTTGTAGAAGATACATGTTTATGCAAGTGCAATTATACAGAAACAAGGGTTGGTGTATCCCCTCCCATAAAAGGGGGGGGGGGGGAACATAGAGATATTCCCCCATGCTTTCTCTACTGATCATATGTTTGCACTGAAGGAAGCACACCCTTGGGACTCTCACTCCCAAATTTCAACTTCCTGCAACCACTGCCAGAATCTCCTACTTTGTGCCTTGCCCCAACTTTGTTAGTGAAATTCTAGGGCCCCTCTGCCTGAAACAGAGGCAAACATGAACAGCTTCTGTCAGAAGGTGTCTTAATAGAAGCTGTCAGAAGCTTGTGTCTTAACAAACTGAAAGTATCTCAGTAGAGGCAGAAAAGAAGTTACTACTTGCTGTTACCTAGGGACAGAAGGCTCAATGTAATGAAGGATGCCTTATCTAACTATACCATCCCCTCACCCTGCATAACCTGAATGCTACAGCAGTTCTTCATGCTACAAAACTAAGATAATTTATTAATTTTTTTTCCACGGAAGACAATTCAAGCAATCATTTAACTGAAAGAGATAAGTAAATAGAGACATTTGAAAATAATGGGAATCTAGTAATCAATTTGAACTACATCATGATTTTAAATTTAAGAAGGAAAAAAAAAAAAAAAAGGCTCCAAGCTGTTAGGAGACTAGTAGTTTTAAAACAGCCAACTTGAAATCACCTTGTAATAACTGCATTTAATGATAATTTACTAAGCTCTTTCAAATGCCAGGTTCTTCAATGTTAGACAACACAAAAAGTTATGAATATCTCATTTTCAGTGTTTATACAATGTTATTCTTTCACATTTTCTTCACTTTGGAGAGGAATCGAGTTGTTTTTTTCCCCCCCACTATACTCAGTATGGTAACCCCTTTCCCTTTCAGATGGGGGATGCTGCTTTTTCTGCTCATAATGGGATTGCAAAGCTCATTTCTATTTCTAAACTTACGTGCTTACATTAGAAGCAATGCAATCACATTCCACACCCCAGGTAAAAACCTCTGTATACTATACAGATATGAAACTGATAAACAAATGAAAACTTTCTTGAAATCAATTAAATGACACCAGTACAAGATAGGTGTAGACTAGTTCAGAGTTAGACCTCTGATTTCTGTAGGTTTATTCTGCATTTCTACATTACTACAAAAACAAAACCCCTGAAGGCGCACTGGCTGGACTTCATAACCGTCTACATTCTTCTACACCTCATCAGTCCAAAATTTCACCTTTCCTCAGTTCTTTTGCCAGTGTTTTCCTTTTTTATTACCTGGTTCTCTTCCATCATCAAAAGATGCATAGTACATGGAGTGATAAGGCAGGCATTATAACATTGCATTTTACAACGTTCAGGGAGCTGAGATGACACACCAGCAGGCAACTTCTTGGGCAGCCGCATATGCGAGAACACTAACTTGATGCTGTGCAATACACAAAAGCTAGAAACCCTCATCGAAATACGTTAGCAGAAATATGGGTAAAGGAGATTATAGGAACCAAGTACACATCTTCAGTCTAGTCCTCAACACCCTTCTTTGAAGTAGAGGAAGTGCCCCAAAGACAAGTCCCACTAAAGGTAGAATTTTGTCTTTACAATCCTCCTGCTTTTCTTCTTCATAACATAATTGATCTGAAATTTTACTGAATTAAAAAAAAAAAAGCTTCTAGTGATTGTTGTTCAAGCTTCTAGGGACTAAAGAAGCTTCTAGAGATTGTGAAATAGGAAATTTTAGAGAAAGGAGGAAGTTAATGCAACTCCCCCCTCATTCATATGAATCCTGCCACTCCTATCAACTGACTTGCAAGTACTGAAGAAAGAAGCCAGGCTACTGGCACGCTGAATATCTGGCAAAAATTGTGACCACAACTAGCCCTGCAGTACGCCCTATTAACACCCTCACTCTTAACTTGCTAACAGCTAGTATTTCCCATGAAACAGAACAAATGACAGCCTTCCTGCCTCTTGCCACACAGATGGCGACTACACTTACATCAGGACCAAGTGTATATGGCATTATCTCATGTTTAAGAAATTGCTTCCACCAAGATGGAGAGCCCCATTTTCAGATTCTTAAGGTCAGGTTCACAGAGCAGCATTGTTTTATACCAACTCTGAATGAATACAGAATATACATACTATTCCAAGGCTTTTTTTTTTTTTTAAATATCCCTGCCCCCGAGAACATATGCTGGGACGAAAAAACCCCCAACACCCCTCAAAACAAGCCAGCAGCGGGCATGGGAGCGCGCTCAGGGAGAACGGCAAAGGCACACAACTTCCTGATCGCCCCTTCGCCCGCACGCGTGTTGTGCAGCAACCTACACGTAGCGCATCCTCCTCGCAATCCGTTTTAACCTTCCCAGCTGGAGACCGAAAGCCCCGCTCGGCACCAGCACGGCTCCTCCTCCACGGCCGGCAGGGGGGCGCCCCCCGCC